CGATACCCTTCGTACAGTAACTCAAACTCGGGTCGCGCTGGTTCAATCCACCGTGTTGCCGCCCACGTGTTGGGGGAGACGTGAATTAGATGTAACGCGCGGGTTTAACAACGGACAACACTGTTTACAAACGTCTACGCGGGCTTTGGCACGCGGCGGCGCTAGAAGGTGCCATCGATGCTAGGCTGTGATGGTGAGGAATAGTGGACGTGGGAGGTAGGGGGGGGGGCAGCCAAAAGGCCTGCGACGGATCTCGAGAGTTCGTAACACCTCGAAGATGGAGCGCGAAAATCCCGCTCGTTTGCAAATCCTAGCCGTGGGTTTGTAACGTAATGACCTGGACGTCTGTAGGGGGGGGGTGGGGGGGAAAGCTCATGGCTCATCGGGATTCCTCCAGTATAAATAACTTGTGATTGTGGCGTTGACTTCGGTGGTGAGAGGCCCTTTGTCCAGCAGTGGATTGACCGTGGCCGCTGCTGATGTTGGGATGGGCGCGCGTGGGGTTGGTGGGGGGGTGGGCTCTTGAGAGCTATCGCGGGATTTTTTTAATTGCCCGCAGGAGCCCAGTAATTTGACTAGTGGGTTGACTGTGGAGTAGGTGATAAATTACTTGTGAAGTGTAGGACACAAGTCAAGGGGTGGCAATCTTCTGCTGGGTGATGACATTCTCCGGAATCTCTGTACATCTGTTGATGATACCATCGAACCCTTTTTGTCTGACGGCAGTAAAACCCACCCCACTATCTTGCTCTTCGAATTTGACATAAGGATCGTGATTTGTTGTTTTAATCTCCGTAACGGTGGAGTGTGCATGGATGTACACACAATCATCTGCACGAGTGGGTGTTACCAAAATGGTGTTAACCACGTGACCAGCTGTGCTTATGTTTTTTCCTTAACGCGTTACGTGTATCAGAATCGTATTTATGCATACTGGAGGAATTCGACGAGCTATGCAGCTCGTTTTAATTTAAGTCCAGAGCTATGAAGCTCGTTATATTAACTTAAGTCCAGTCTATGTACTGTCCGTTGAGCTTCTTTCGCGCCGGGCCGTAGCTAATCGGTGTGGTAGGAACGTTGGATTTACGCGTTTTTTTGTTTTTGGTTCCGCAGGGCCGACTAACAAAACGCAAGCATGGCGCCCAAGCGCAACAACATGATCCCAAATGCGCATTTCCACAAGGACTGGCAGAAAAGGGTGCGCACGTGGTTCAACCAGCCCGCCCGCAAGGAGCGCAGGTCCGGTATACTTGCCACCCGCGTGTCGCATGTTTCCGCATGGCGCGCGTCGGGGCCCGAATTCTGGAGGAGGAATCCGATTAGCTATGGAGCTCTCCTTATTTTTTTTTGCCTGCCCGCGGATGTCCAGTACGGGGCACGGAGTCGGCGAGTCGCAACAGCAAACATAATCGGCAAAAACGAGGCGGCTAAATGAAGAAGAAAAAAAAACGATAAGCAAGTCACTAAATGTAAACAATATACACGTCTAATTTAGCAAGGTTGGGCAAGGCAGCAGAATGCAACAACAAAACACTCCCAGACCCCACCAAGATAACAGTCCCTCAATGAAATGGCACGTTAAAATTTAGACTATCGATACACAGGTAATGATCAAAGTTACAAATAAAATTTGCGAATGTGATTCGATCGAGCAGTAATCTTCTGCTTCAGGACATGCGGGAATACAGCGTGATTCCCACTTGGACCTGCACCACCACATCACCGACGTTACCAAGTCCCCCGCTATGCATGCTGGGTCGGTGGCACCGATATTCTAATTGAAAGGGCCAAACTACTTAAACAAGTGTGTTTAGCACGCGTTGGTGATTCGTGTGTTTGCTAATGTATTTTACAGTACATTTTTCGCCTCTTAGTCCGTGCTGTACTAGTGACGAATTTGCATGTTCTGTTTACGTGACAACCCTTACTAGTTCGCTGTGTCGGGTGTTGGTGGGTTTTAACAGCACATATGTTTATGCGAGCTAACCCAAAAACCTCTTATGGATTATGGCTCAAACTTATTTACCTTATTGGCCTACACATTGTGTGGCCTAGGTGTCTTGAAAAATACGACTTGTCTAAATGGGCTTGTGCATATAAAAATAGTTGACCCCAAATAGTTTTTTTTAAAGGTTGGCATTGTCCATTTTGGAGTGAACATTTCCACTTGTACACCAGTTTTGGTGAACCGTGGTTTTCTCTTTAGAGCACTCAACCACTACAACAATTCGTAACCACTGCAAGGGCAAAGCGATTTGAAATAAATTACTTGTGAAGTGTAGGACACAAGGTGTGGCAATCTTCTGCTGGGTGATGACATTCTCCGGAATCTCTGTACATCTGTTGATGATACCCTCGAACCCTTTTTGTCTGACAGCAGTAAAACCCACCCCACTATCTTGCTCCATGAGAGTATGCACTACAATTATAAGATGTAATTTTAAAGCAATTTGTTATAATTGTAGTTTATGTTTAAATATTGAGTTGCTGCTGGCACCCTGTCACAATCCATTATGCCTTGCGATATAAATAGAAAGTAATGATAGTGTGCCGTGAGTTAAATCAGAAAACAAAAGTGAGTTCCGTAAAACCGGCGATGGGTTTTGCAAAGCCATGTTCCATCATCAAGAACCAAGGTTTGACCACCGCAGTTGTGCGCATTGTCCCATAGGCGCAAGAATCGTCTTGCGAAGGCCCGGAAGATCGCCCCCAGGCCAGTGGGAGGTGACCTCAGGCCCATCGTGCGCTGCCCCACGCTGCGTTACCACACCAAGGTGCGCTCCGGGCGCGGATTCTCCCTCGAGGAGCTGAAGGTGAGCACTTGCGCGTCTGTCGTTTCACGTCTTTCCCCTTGGGTGGTCATCCAACTTTATTTCTCCCTGCTTCTGCATTTTACATGGGCAAGGGTTGAGAGGGAGTAAATTGTATTGGTGATTTTGGTAAATTTAAGATGGCTTTGTGTTGACCACCTGTTGCATAGATGTTGGGGGGAAGCTGCCATGGTGGAATGGTTAGTCCACTGTACTTGGAATCCAGAGTTCACCAGTTCAATCCCATAACATGGCAGGGTTGGATAAAGTGGAATTTGCTTGTGAAAATGTGAATGGCACCCATCTGTTGAAGTTTTGTGTTCTGACATCGGTATTGTACACCTCCATAAACATCTGATTCCAACAGTTCCTTTGTCAATCCGTTCTTCATATTATACTCTTTGGTTTTTTTCGGTAAAGTCACATAGGTAAAATAATTTAGTTTCATTTATTTTATTTTACCTACGTGACTTTACCGAAAAAAAACAAAGGGTAAATCCTTGCAGTCTCGAAAGCTTCAAATCTTCAAATAATATTTGTTTTACTTATCTATGTTCAACACTTGCAAAGCTAGCCGGATGTGCTCAATTCAACTTAATCGGCACATGATGGGGATACCAAGGCTATGAAACTTGTGATCTCTTACAGAAAATACATTTAGTTCTCTTAATGTAAGCCTACAATTATTTTCTTATAAATCTCGAGTATATGGCATATGTAGAAATTGCTGTATGTGCTTGTACAACAACATTGCCGGCCATGTCGCTTAATGCTTTATTGCTCGGCGTTCTTTGCTAATTTTCAGGGGGGGTGGGGGGGCACTTTCACTGATAATACATCAGTGAGGCACTTAATGGCCACCAGGTGCTTGCCTTGCAACGAAGAACACTGCTCTATATGGAAACCCTTTGTGTTTTCCCCCCAGGCTGCCGGCATCAACCGCAAGGTGGCTCGCACAATCGGCATCGCGGTGGATCATCGGCGGCGCAACAAGTCAACAGAGTCCCTGCAGGCCAACGTGCAGCGTCTCAAGATCTACCGCTCCAAGCTCATCCTCTTCCCCAAGAAGGCCTCCAAGCCTGCAAAGGGAGACAGCTCGGTGCGTGTTGCGTTGTTGTTGTTGCTGCGCTTGGGTTACCCAGGAAAGCCTCGCAGAGTCCCGTGGCTGTTTTCAGGAGAGTCCTGCCATGTTTTCGCAGTTGGGGGGGGGGGGGGGAGAGGTGTGATGATTGCCATGTATTAATTTTACAAGTAATTTTTTTCACATTTGGATCATGCCATCACACAGTGCCCTACTCTGCTAATGGCGTTGGGATATTTAACGTCCTGAGTGAAGCAGATGGACTTCCACACCTTGCTAGAAGTTTGTTTAATGCTTAAGCTGAAGATTTCCCTTGTAAACTGCCTTTAAGGCTACATGCAGCATTTTCCCAATGCACCAAGAGTTGCTGCACCCTATTATGTAAATTTGCACATAAATGCAGTTCCACTCTTACACACATTTGTTTGAAGGTGTTGAAGGTTTCAAAGCGCTTGTCTGCTTAAAGGTGAACTTTGTTGGTTTTAAAATAATGTCTTGCCTTGTTAGCTGATCATGTCATGGAGCAAGTATATTGACACAAGGATTTTGTGCATGTACACACCAGTTGCCCCTTTCCATCATGGCAACAATCATGTAAGGCGTATTTCAGCTGTTACCGGTTTTCCAGCAGTGGGACCCATGGCGCGTTTTCCATAATTGTTCTTGCTACTTTCCACACGCGGTGCAATCGCTGTGTTTTGAAGGATCTTGTGAAATGGATCAAGAAGTGGTCTCGTGAAACGTTGCCTTTCTCACCGAGTTTGTTTCTCTCTCTAGCCCGAGGAGCTGAAGCTGGCTACACAGCTGAAGGGGACGGTGATGCCGATTTCACAGGTACGTGCTGCAATTATCAACATGTTTGTGGTGTCTAAAGCTATACAAACGGAGTCGTGTGTGTGTGTGTATATAGGTGTGCTTTCATGCAGTGTTCATCCGTAACATCTGTTGCACAGCGTTTTCTATTATTCGTGCCTGTTTGTAATTTTTTCAGGGGGATTTGCTTTTTTAAAGCACCTCGTTTAGGGTGAACGTACACTCGAGTGCATTTCGCTCAATTAGTTGACGAAATTAACGGTTTATTTCCACTGGTCTGACATTTATCGGTCGTGTGATGACAGCTTCTCCGGAATCTCTGTACCTCATTGATGAAAATCCGTTTGAACCCTGATTTGTCTGACGACCGATGATGCAGTGGCATTTTATAGTCTAGTCACTACGACTACACATGCTAGTGAGAAGTGGCACTAGCTCACGCTTCAGATGTTAAATCGGTAACTTTGCATTAACAGTTCAAATGACGATGCATCCCAAATGGCAGTGCTTCCGTTCTGGCTACACCTCGGCTATCTTACTGGCTGTCCATCATGAGTTTGAAGAAAGATTAATGAGTGCATTAACTTAATAAATAATTTGCAAAGTGTCAGTTGAGTCGTGTAAAGATGTTCTCTTAGTTATTTTAAAACGACTCGCGGCATTGTGGATAAGTAGCTACAAGATGAAGCAACCATATGCTGTATATTAATATGTAATTGCACGTAATTATCCAGTCGTGTGAAATTCCCCGGTGGAAAGGTCTTCTGAAGAGAGACCAATGCGTATTGTAATGTCCAATGTTTAGGTGTTTGCTTATAATTAATTCAATACCAACCCGCGCACCCCCCATCTCCTTTCCACCAAAACTCTCGTTCCCACAGCACCAGAGGGTGGAGAAGGCGCGCAAGATCACGGAGGATGAGAAGAACTTCAAGGCGTTTGTCACCCTGCGCGTGGCCCGCAGCCACGCCAGGCTCTTTGGCATCCGCGCTAAGCGTGCCAAGGAGGCGGCGGAGGACGGCGGTGTTGAACCCAAGAAGAAGTGAGAGGGGGGGTCACTCGATCTGTAATTCGGGATTTTGATCAATAAAAGACCACAGCTCGACACTTGGATGTTCCGTGATTTTGATTTGTCTACGTTTCTTTGGTGGTGTCTGAAGTTTTTTTTATATTTGCGGTGAACTGTAATGCTTGTGACAATGTGGTGTGACGCCTTTGTTTGCGTAGTAGTTTAGTTAACTTCCTGTTCTCGTTTGTGTTGATGCTCATCGACTAAAATTGGCTGCATTTTAATCCACAATTTCATATTTGAACTTTTAAGATTCAGCTTCCTTTCAATATTTGCCTCAAAATCAAAATGTCTTCTAAAATGAACCATGGTTGTGGGTTCCTTAATCAGAATGGGAAGTTGGACATTTATACGACAGGGAGATCTAGTCCATAGAGTGGTAACATTTGGCTTCCCACAAATCAACCCCCGCCTTTGTCAATCCGAGAGGGATGATGTGCTGGAAGGTAATTTTACGTCGTATTTTTTTCAGTTCTGCGTGTTTTCACGACTTTCTCTTCGTGCATTTGTAAACCCCCCCCTCCGCCCCGTGTCGCCTTCATTTTGCGTCCACGTCTAATCTCATTGCCAATTTCATTTCACCGAGTGCAGCATTGACGGCGGCCTCCACATGCTTACAGGTCGTGGCTTTTAATATGATGGTATCTTGGCACGTTGATCAACTGTGGGTTTGTGAATACAGGGGAACACGGACTGAAAATGCAGTTCAACAAATGTTGCAATGCCACCTGCTGACAGGGCCCCAAAGCAGTATATAACACCCGTTGTGCATCACATTCGCCAATTCAGGGAATATCCAGGCTGCACCTGCTTGGCTTGCGAGACCTGCTTAGCGTTCCGAGTGATCTGGTCACAAGGCCGTCCAAATATGCAGCCAAAACGAGATGAAGTTTTAAGATAGTGTACGATGTTTCGCACTAGAGGACGTTGTAGGCCACATTTCCAACGTTTGACAAGACTGCCTCGTAACGACGTGTGCAAGTTACACCTGGATTCGATTCCCAACTCGGGCGCCTTGTTCCGTTTCCGCCAATTTATGGCAAAACATACAATGCATCTCTGCGATACTGTCATTTCCCGCACCTCCGATGAGCTGCGTAGGGTGCGAAAGAAGTTCAAAACAAGTAGCGTAGGAATGCGAAGTAAGAGGAGTCAAAACTTAAAATGAGACAATTGGGCGACGTTTCGGGCAAAGCCTTTTTTCAAAGCACATGCATCGGCCCGTGGAGAGACGGAGTGAATAGTAAGGGGTGGAGCTGGCACTTGTTTACACCGTGAGGGCCTGATGAGTTACATTGATGAAAAAATTCAAGCCTTTTGCCCTTTCCAGCAATAATGCGGGAGGTGGTAAGATGTTCAAACGCCAAAGACACCTGTTGCTAAGGCCTCAAGTCTGCATTGGCCACACGCGTGTGGTAAAATACTATATGCAAAACAAACATTTTCTAATCCATAAAAGGTTTTTTTGGGTTGCATTGCGTAAAAACTAATCTCGTTAAACCCGACAGCCAATTAATGAGATTTGTCACGTAAATCAAACGTGCCAATTGGTTACGAGTAAACCCACAACATTTACAATTCGAGTACCGTGTTTTGGCGGTGATTACAACCAGCTTCACGCGATTAGGGGCCGTCCATAAATGACGTCACGAGATTTTTGACCCCCCCCCTTTCGGCACACAGCGTCACAAAAAGATCCCCCCTCAAATATGACGTCACAAAGCTCTGTCCCCCCCCCAAAAAAAAAACATGTTTCAAATCGCTTTAAACTATTGTCATTGTAGTGCGTATTTAATGTGGTGCTGCACTCTGATGTAGGAGAAAACATTTATTACAGTCTTATTTAATTAAGTAGGACGTGTTGTATATATACAAAGTTGCGCATTTTGATGTGACGTCACATTTCTCTAACCCCTCCCCCCTCGTCACATCGTCACAAATGTCTGACCCCCCCCCCTAGGTGCGTGACGTCATTTAGGGACGGCCCCTTAGCCATAATTGTGAAGAGTCTCCTGGTTTCCGTCGTTAATATGCATCGTCTTTGAAACTAATACCAGTGAAGACGATTCCTCCAGTCGTGATAAAGTTCATGAAAAAGGGTCCCATATATAATGACTTTAATTTAAATGTTTTCTGAACAGTTGTTTAGACGTGGATAGGCACATGAATAGGCAAAAGAACTCGTTATTATCCACGTTATCTCTGAGGCCTTAGCAGGAAAAATAGAGGCCACTGTTATTGACGATTGTGTTGAGATTTTTGTTGTTTCTGCACCACTGCAAACGCCGTAGCAGCATCACCACCACAATTCGCTTAAAACGAGTGACAACTGAGCATAAGTGACACAAACTTTGAGTTTATTTGATCTTTATTATCCCAAAAGCAACAGTCGGAAGCGCAAACTGATTTGAGCAAACGGAAATGTGCTTTACAGAGTAAGCTATTAAATATTCACGGATCATTGGTGTTTAAGTTATTCACTGTTACTAACTATTGTATTGTCAAAGTGGTCCTCAGCCACTTTCATTAAACGGCTCATAAAAACAACACTAAAAAACGGAATAATTTAAACAGAATAATCACTGCGTTTGAAAATTTGCTAAATTGTGAATATTGAACATTTAAAGTTTGGCACAAATCTTCACGTGTAAGAAGGCATAATCACGGCATTTCACTTCGATTGATATATTAAAGCACAAATAGCAAACGGAAGCTGTCTCTGGATCCAGTGTTTTAAGTGCTGTGTTACATTTCCAGTCATAGTCACAAACTTTGGTCCCCCTAGCGGACACTTTGCAAACCAAAAGTATTAACCAAGAAAAAACGGCACACATTTATGGGTTTGATAAGTTAAACATTTTTAAAACGTTGATCTATTTTTTTCTGCCAAAAATGAGTCGACACTTGGAATTGTTAAATATATATCTAGGTATAAATTGTGTGCCAACGTTTGTGCTTCTGTCAACCAATATTCAATCCTTAAAAAACAATCATTGCATACCCAACAGGCAATTCACTTAGATACTCATTCTATATGATCACCATCAGCCATGCTTTATCTACTGCTCGATGAATCCCCTCTACAAATTTGTCAACTATCTACATCCTACTATGTATATAATTTTAATGATGTATTTGGCACAATGGGATTAGTAGGTGGACACAATTCCACAACCACCGTGACTCGGCGCAATTGGCACAACAGCACAGGCGCGGTGACAAGCGGTGACACGCGCGCACACGGGACCCTGCGTCCAGCGGGCTTTTCACTTGAAGGAGGCCTGCACCACGCGGCCTTTGAGAGGCTGCGTCGGACGGAAGTTGCACACCAGTTTGGAGCCGTCGCTCGCTTTCAGTGAGCGGAATGCAGCCAACTGAGAGGTAAAAAAAAGAAGACGAAAGATGAGAGGCAGATCCCCGCCCCCGTATAGCCCTTAACATACCAGAGGGCATGTGCTGTTAGCGAGTAGCACGGCACACGATGGTTTCTGTTGGCATTTTCGCTCCTTCCACACGAGACCAAAACACTTAATTTGTGGAAATTGGCCAAATATCCCGACGGAAGACGCTCCTGCAAAGATAATCTTGAGACTCAACGAGGCTCCGGCAACAACCGCCTTTTGTCACGAAGTGGCAGTCACGTCACCACGGCGCTTGTGCCAGGCTACGTGCACGTTAAGGCGATGTGAAGTGTCGAACGCCCGCTGATAGGAGGTCACGGGACAGACACAGGTGCCATGGGTTGACTGAGATGACCGGCAGATGCGCCAACTTTGCCCTCTACTGTGCCAACTTGCTGTGTTTAGCAGCTCCCCTTGTGAGCGTCGCTTCTCTGCCCTCTGCTGTTGCTGGAGGAAGACTGCCTCCAACTGCCCAGTAGCGTCCTTCTCGAGCCTCCTCCACAGAGGCCGATCTTAGATCCATATCCTCTCGTAACACATTCCATCTCTTCTCTAGCCCGTGCCGCGCACGTTTGGCCCTCTATCCGGCCGAACAAAAGCTGTGCAGGCATGCGGTGGCTGGGCATGCGGGCTACATGACCCAGCCAACGCAGCTTTGCCTGCCGGAGGAGCTCACCGATGGGACTGTACAGATAAGTGAGGCAAACTTTTTTTTAAATTTTAGCAGGTAAGGCCCACTGAGCTATATAGCTCTTTTTGGTTAGAAGCGACCTGGCCACAAATGATAGCTCAACGAAGTGGCTTATCGTGTGGACATTTATAGCAGTCAAATACTCTAAACGCGTGTCGATTCTAAATGTGGAGGGAAAGACCCGGAGGACCCGGAGAAAGATCCACGCGACCACGGGGAGAACGCCCCAACTCCAAATATACAGGCGTCGGTGGTCGGGATCGATCGTACTCACGACCTCCTGTATACCAGGCGAGGTAGTTAACATCTCGCCACACACTCAAGCACCCACGGCGCTCCCAGGCCCCTCCCCGTCTCACCTGCTCCTTGCTGGCGGAGATTGGATCCTTGAGCACGATCCAGATAGCGCTCTCATTGAGGGGCGGGGTGGTCAGAGAGCCCAGGTAGGACCAAAAGTCCAGGGACTTGGGCAGGAGAACCGAGGGGTCGTAGTTCTTGAAGTCCGCCTTGGCACCCTGGAGTAAAAATAAATGAATACGGTGCTGCAAGTGAGGTCGCTTGCAACAAATGTAGTTTTTTTTTCACGGTCTTAGCGTTAATGTTGGCTCAGGTCAAAATTCAGGCATCCAGCTGTGAAATTAAGCCTCCAAAACTCCGACACTATAGATTTTTTTTAATCTTTCAGCAATGTAAATATTTAAATAACAATTATTTACAATATTTTTCAATCCGCTACTGGATGAAAGCCTCCTCCTCCGTGCTCTGTCAGCCATGGAGGTTGTTGAACCATACGCTGGTCAAGTGCACGTATCTGAAAGTCGGGGTGGCCCAGAATCAGTTTAGATATCAATCGCCGCTGGTGTTCGCCCTGGCTGGGAATCAAACTCAGGTTGGTGCGTTAATGGCCGCAGTGCAGCGAATAATTTCCGCCCACTGACTTCCCATGGAAGTCTAGCAGAGATCAAGTTGAGCTCATGCGCTCGAGATGTCATCTTTGCTGAAACGGAAGCTCAGCTGGGAAGCTTAAAATGTTGACGAGTGAACTCTATAGTGAAAGAGACCCTAACTATCAAAACCGTAGATAACACATTCCTGCGGAGGGAGCTGGTAGGAACGTTGGGTTGCTCGGTCAATGGCCAGGGTCAACGGCGTCGATTATCAATTGCATTATCATTACCATTGGATGGCGAAGTAATTTTCCGGAGCATTTCTATTCGTAAGCAGAGTTTGCTATTTTTCTTTATGTCGAACGCTTCCTATAAATCCAACAGCGATAACACCACCTTAACCAAAAACACGTGACTGACGTTATTCTTTTTGTTGTTGTTGCAAACCGGTGGCTTGTAACGTCGATTTTCAGACATACTAGACAGTCCACAATGTTCGTGTTCACAGACGTTGCCCGTGGGATTCTGGGATTGTGCGTCACGTTGTCGACGCAGTCGGTCGTTGTCCTCACCTTGTCCGCGATGGCATTCAGAGCGTCCGTCACCTTCTGCAACCCTGCGTTATTTGCGCCAACCTGGAAAAAAAATATTGAATCCGACAGTCAGCTTTACCGTTACACACTGAAGCTGAATATGAGATCCCCCCCCCCTCCCGCCGCCCTGGTAGCAATGTCCAGGGGGTGTGCTTGCCCCCGACAGTCTGTTACAGGCGATGCAGTGGATCTTTGTATTTGTGAGTGTAGGTGGATGAGGGTGGTGAGTCTGGGTGAGGGTGGATGTGGTGAGCGGTAGTGTGGTGGTGGGCGTCTACGAACCCGGCTACCCGAGTTCGATTCCCGCTCACGGCTACCAATACCGGTGGCGATTTTTTTGAACCGGTCCTGGGCCTCCCCTAGGCCGACTCAGCCTCAAACGAGTACCTGGTGCGGTGTGTAAAATCATCGCCACTTGGGAGACAAAGGTGGTCAGGCACGGTGCTGGCCACCCACCCCCTCGTGTACCGTTCGGGTTTTCATAGGTGCTCGCTAACAGCCCTTGCCCCAACAGTCTGTAAAGGCTAATGGGGGGGATCTGTGTTTGAGTGAAGCACCTTCACGAAGGCGCCCAGCACAGCCAGCCCATCGCTCTTGTCTTTCGCCTCGTCAAAGCTTGCGTACTTGGCCGCATTCCAGTGCACCAGGTGGAGCTGCAACGGAGAGACATGGGCGCGGTGAGCCACTGCATGGCGGACGGGGGCCACGTGGGAGGTGACGCACACCTGTCAAACCCCTATCAGTGCCCTACCTTATTACAGACCAATTTAGACCTTATTGGTCGCCCCGTGCGCCTTCTAAATATCAACGTTCATCCTACGAAGTCACATCACAAGGGAGAAATACAAAGGAACAGAGAAAAATCATGTTACTAAAAACGTGTTTTTGTTGCCCGTATTGAAACGGCTGTACCCCGTATGGATCCGAAAACTCAATTTTCCTGGATAAGATCAAGGGGTGAACCGTACGGGTTGACGGCTATGAGACGTCACGGGGATGTGTCCTAGCATGTACCCGTGCAGCGGTGTGTCTACCCCACTGCTGGACGAGGGCCTCCCCGAACACACCGCGTGAGTCTTGGGTGGGTTCGTGAAAATGTTCTTAACCACGCTGATCGATAACTGTGGGGAGCATAGACTGAGCTTATAAGTTCAGTCCAGCGGTGGATTTTTGTTGCGACAGTGACACCCTCCGTTTCCCACTCGCCTGTCCTCGCGCGCGATGGCAATAGGCTCGGTTTTCTGAATGCCAATGTCGAGGTCTGCCATCCATGAGAGGGCATTAGGGGGACAGAGAGTTTGTGTTGAGCGTTTGTTGGTCACCCATCCCAGGGCTACGCAGCTAGCTTTAGCTTCCGTGAGCCGATGGGTTCTAGTCCCCTCAATTGCAATCGTACGGTTGCGAACAAAGCGTACATAATCAGAGTATTTGTTGAAGCTTGAGGAATCCGACGAGCTATAAAGCTCTTTTTTTCACAGATGTCCAGTAGGGGCGGGTCAAAACGTCACAACAACAAACAGTACAACGCCACGAATGGAGTGCAGAGTATTGAAAACGTTAGCAAATCACTGAAAAACTATGCAAATAAAACTTTTTTTTAACCATGAAAATCCTACTGAGCTATTGCAACACTGAACCCAATCCCTTTTATCTTTGTGTATATAATACAAGTTACTATTATTATGACGTTTATCTTTTAAGGGAGGATCTGCATATGGGGGCGGGGTGTTTGGCCAATTTCTTATGGTGTTGCGTGAATGTGTCACACAGGATCCCATATACACAGTGACACCCAGGGTCACAGTGACACCCAGGGTCACAGTAACACACAGGGTCACAGTGACACACAGGGGTCACAGTGACACACGGGGTCACAGTGACACACAGGGGTCACAGTGACACACAGGGGTCACAGTGACGCACGGGGTCACAGTGACGCACAGGATCACAGTGACGCACAGGGTCACAGTGACAAAGACAAAGATCCCCCATATAGCACCTCGGCAGAGTAGGACTTCCCATCCACGGTGTGCTCGGATCCCTTCGCGTCAGAGGCCCCCCAGTGGAAGTGGAACTGCTTCAGCTTGTACGGGTTGGCGAGGGGCCCCCCACTCAGCACTGCAAAGACACAGACAAAGATCCCCCGCGTGTATCGCCTTCGACAGACTATTGGGGCAAGTGCTGTTAGCGGGTAGCACCTATGAAGGCCGGCACCACGCCCAGCCGCCTTTGTCTCCCCAGTGATGACGTTTACACATCGCACCAAGTGCTCGTTTGAGGCTGAGTCGACCTAGGGGAGGTTCATGACCGGTTCAGATAATCGTCACCGGTATTGGCCGTGAGCGGGAATGGAATTCGGGTCGCCGGGTTCGTAGCGCAGCGTAGCGCTAACCGCTACACCACCGCTCCACCGCAAACAACAACAACAACAACTGCCCTTCGTTACTAAGTGGCGGTGATGTCACCATGACGCTTGTGCCAAGGCATGTGCACTTTAAGGCTGACAGGAGGTCACGGGGGAGACTCACAAACACGCACACACGCGCACGGATAATAAAACTATTCACCACAAAAATATAGCAGCAACAGCAGCCAACCCGGTTATATTACGTAGCATGCACATTTTGACAATGTAACAGAATTAGGTCACGAATGCTGTATAAATTAATTAAGTTATCCAGGGAAGTTGTATAAGGAGTCTTGAGACTCTTTTTGGGAGGCCGCTGCACTGGGATCTGTGGTTCAAATTCCTGTCCAATGCTCATCTCAGCTTCCCTCATCACAAGTCCCCTTGCCACCTAAAACGTCTTCTCACGATGTTGTCCTCTCGTCAAGAGATATCCAGCGCTGGATCCCTGATGACAACCTGTTGACTAATCCTTGTCCTTAGTAATGTGTTTTTTTTTAATCAATCACATCTTGCCACCATCCCTTTGTGCATCTTACTCTTGGGGACTGTCCACAGGGATTTCACCTCTCGTGATTTTCCCCCAGGATCATCCTCCTGTTGTGCCCGGCCGTCTTGGTAAACATTCTTAAGTCTTGCCGGGGACATTAATAGCCCCAGTTTTGTGGGGTTAGTAAAGTAATAATCCAGCACAGTTGACACGTAAAGTCCTCCCCTCTTTCGGTATTGTGAGATATCCTTCTTCCCATTATATGTCCTGGGTTTAATGAAAAAAAAGTGAGGTGGCAAGCATGCCCGTCGGTGAATAACTAATAATTAATCTCTATCATCTCCACCGCTATACTAAGACACCACGCACCCATAGAGAGATTAAATTGTGCTAAAATTTCCCCAATTAACCTTTATCTAAGTGCATAAATGCCCATTACGTGACCGGAGCTGCCGACGATGAATGACGGAGGGAAAGTGTAATCGCGACCAAACTTTACGAATGTTATAAAGCGAGGCATTGTGCGGTACATAGAACGTGATAAAATCAGCCCTTTGCCTTCGCCGCAATGTGAAGCAATATCCGTAGGAGAGATTGGTTATCGTTCGCTGTGCTCTCATTGTTCTATTTAAGAGTCCAGTTCGTCTCATCCGTTGGCCACGCTCCAGGAACACGTCCGAGGATTCAAAAGTAAGAACTTGGTCGCAGCCCAACTTTGAAAACTAATTTATTGAGAACTGCTTTTTGTGTTTAGTTTGTTGTCTTTTCCCTTGCACCTCAGATTAGCGCGGGTTGGCTACGTACGGTGCGAAAGAAGTTCAGCATAAGTACACATAACTAATTATTCAGTGGTGCACAATCTAAATTAATAAATAAAAACATACTCAATGTATTGGTCAATAATACCACTGTGTGTGGAAGGAGTCTTAAAAAGAAAACTAAATAATTAGGTCATGTTTTGGGCAATGTTCTTCATAATTATCATATCATACATACACATTTAAAATAATCATGACACTCTTGAAGCGTAGCCCTGTTAAATGCAGCTTTTCTTGCAGCGTTCAATGATGTTGTCAAGATGGCATTGAACGGAGTTTGCGTTGGAAAGCAAAGCTAAATGGGTAATTCAAGTATATACGATAACCACTCATCAGTGCTAGGGTGCAATAGTGTAGGATTATGGTATTATGGTCTAGCGCAGGGGTCAGCAACCTGCGTCTCTGAAGCAGCATGCGGCTCTTTAAAGAACTGTTTGCGGCTCTTGAAATATAGAGTTTTTTTAAACCGAATTAGAAAAAAAATGCCTCTTCTTGCTGTTTTGGTTGCCCACCCCTGATCATGGGAGGTTCAGTTTACCATGGGAGTCCAGTTTACCATGGGAGTCCAGTTTACCATGGGAGTACAATTTAGCATGGAAGTCCAGTTCACCATGGAAGTCCAGTTTACCATGGGAGTCCAGTTTACCATGGGAGTCCAGTTTACCATGGGAGTCCAATTTAGCATGGAAGTCCAGTTCACCATGGAAGTCCAGTTCACCATGGAAGTCCAGTTTACCATGGAAGTCCAGTTCACCATGAAAGTCCAGTTTACCATGGAAGTCCAGTTCACCATGGAAGTCCAGTTCACCATGGAAGTCCAGTTCACCATGGAAGTCCAGTTCACAATGAAAGTCCAGTTTACCATGGAAGTCCAATTTACCATGGATAGTCGGCATCCTGCATCTCTGGAGCAGCGTGCGGCTCTTTTAAGGAGTCCTTCGTTACGTCATCTATTCAGGACCACCACCGTCTCGTATTCACCACCACAGTGCATTGCGCCTCAAGAAAAATTCAGTTCGGATTTTTGTTGTTTTAACCGAATTCTAAAAAAAAAAAAAATGGCTCTTGTTATTTCGGTTGCCTGCCCCTGGTCTAGCGGCAGGCAGGTAAGTTTGCCTTTAGGCCGATAATCCCCTACTGCAAGCCAGCCGGCTAAGCAATGTCCCAGCAAAAAAGAAACCCGATTTCGAGAATTCGAGGCAGGCAATGATAAAAAAAAAAAACCAAAACCACGCTCGCGTACCACTGCTGTCGCCGGAGTCGTCGTAGTCCACGGAGAAGGAGTGACCGCTGTTGGAGATGCTCTTGGCGTCGGCGCCGGAGTAGCTCACGGAGAGGGCGCCCAGCGCCGCTTCGTAGACGGCGCTGGCGGGCTCGATGTCGATGGGAGACTGACGAGACCCATCGGCGTTCTTAAAATGCTTGCCCCACACCTCGGGTCCTGCAATCATCGCACGGTCATCGTTGTCTTCAATCCGAGACGATAACAGACGTTGTGACACAAAACCGCCTGCATTTATTTCTGTCAACTCGACACGTGCCCCGGTACGCGGCCACGGTTTCACAGAAGCAGAAGGTCGGACGCGGCCCGGGGGCGGGCTTGGTGGAGAGGGGCGGATTTGGGCTCACTGCCCCGTGTCCAGGTGCGGGGAGACTCGAGCAGAGAGAAGCGAATGTTTATATGGGGGGGAGGGAGCGACGAGCGGGGGGGGGGGGGGACATACAAGTTGTAGTGTAATAGCGCCGGCTGGTGACCAAAAGCGGCAACTGCGGTGTACAAACAGCACACACGCCAGTGGCCGACAGTATACACGGTGTGTGTCGGCAGAGTGGAAGCACTCGGGCAAGGGTCATGGAGGGGTCCACCTGGAAGCCCCTGGAAGCTCCTGGTGGGTTCGAGAAGGGGGGCGTCGCCGCTGCCGTCTCTGTCATCCCTCGACGTCGCGCTGCTGGATAGCCTGCCAGCTGCCTTAGCTAGCTAGCGCCACCGATGTGTTGCATCGGCTAGTGTGTGTATCGGCTAGTGTGTGTCGTCGAGGTCGTGTGTGTTCATAAAAGAAGGTGCCTCCACAAATGTCGCCTCCGAAGTCCTGCACTACACAAGTATATGGGAGGGAACGGTAATGGGGAACATACTATTATAGGGGAGGGAACGGTAATGGGGAACATACAAGTATAGGGGAGGGAACGGTAATGGGGAACATACTATTATAGGGGAGGGAACGGTAATGGGGAACATACAAGCATAGGGGAGGGAACGGCAACAGGGGAACATACTATTATAGGGGAGGGAACGGTAATGGGGAACATACAAGTATAGGGGAGGGAACGGCAACGGGGAACATGCAATTATAGGGGCAATGGGGAATATACAATAATAGGGGTAGGGAACGGTAAGGGCGAACATAAAAAAGCATCATGGGGGTGGGAGGGGGGGGAGCACACGAAAACGCATGAGAGGAACGTGACGCATTGCGCCTTAAGATTCTAGAGCTGTGAGTGTCTTGACCTTCGTCTAGAGACGGGTTTGTGGGTGCAGCCCGGCGACTGGTCGGTCACTCTAAGGCGGGTGAAAGGGCCTCCGGGAGAGGTAAACTCAAGGGTAGTTGGCCTGCTCATCCGCACTGAGCAGACGTGGTTCCCCATTACCGTTCCCACCCCTATACTTGTGTAGTGCAGGACTTCGGAGGCGACTTTTGTGGAGGTGGTGGGAGTGCCACACACTTTAACCCACCTCGCGTGACCTGCCGACCAACTTAACCGCGGCGGACAGATTTGCATTGCTCGCTAGATGGGGGGGGGGGGGGGTGGTGGTGGGGAGAGGCGGACGTAAGAAACGTGTTGGATGGAACCGGTGATGTCCAGTTTGCAAATCCAGTTCGCAGTTCTTTTTTTATGGCAGAGGAAGGAATTAGGCTGGAGAGAGGTTTATCATTTGAGCCTAAACTGTGGTCTCTCTTGTGAGTCTTTGTGAAATGAGTTTCGAATGATTTGGAAACACACCGTGACTATCATATAGCTTGATGCCAGTTTTAATGGGAGTATTGTAATACCAATTCAAAGCAGATTCTCACGTGATAAACTACCTTGGCATATGCCTGTCATTTGACTGCATCTGTAAATGGGCGGACCTCACTCTTCGAAGAAAGACATCATCATCAGTAGAGGTCACGATTAAGAGTAAGGGTAGAGGTAACCCCACACTAATTAAAACAGTGACATAATTAACTGACTTATGAGATTTCCCGCGATATTAATTAAAGTCAATTTCCCGAAACATATTTTGCACGCGTGTGTATAGCTCAAAGATCACTTGATACACGTCACCTAGTTTGCGTTCCGTTACATTTTTGCCTGTTGCGAACATACCGTTAAATTAGTTTGACTGAATAAAATGCGAATAAAATCAATTACAATGCGATTCAGATTGAGTGACACTCCAGGATTATCAACCCAAGCTGTGCGATCAGCAATGCAAATCGTGTCATTGTTAAGGGGGCAGAGAGTTGGGTAAAGACGACTTAAGTATAATTATTACCCTCGTAACCAAAACTGCCGATAAGTGTTGCGTGTTCGCTCTATCACAGCGCTCCACAACGCATTTACCTATGCCTGGCCATCTCGTTAAATGTTTAACTACAGGTGACTTTTAAACCGACCACTTAAGGAGCCACTCAATAGCTATAAAAATAATAATTCTGCCCGTTTGAACCACGAGACCGCAATCACCGTGGTCGTGCAAAGTCCGCGGGATGGCTCTTATCGAGACTTTACCACGCGCCGGGGTCACGCAGGATCACGGTCGAAAGACCCTAAAGTCGTGGTTCTTAACCTTTACTGCAACCTTGCACCCCTTTGGTTCTGAATCGTTATATATTTTTTTAATATAATGTCAATAAATACATGGGGGGTTTGATTAAACAAAGTACTTTGTATTTACGTGCCCGTGATTAATTTGTCTTTTCGATGATTTGCCTTTAATTAAAAAAAATCTGCCCGCGTCTCACACCCCCCAGAAAGGGCATCTCCGCACCCCCAGCGCGTGCGTGCATCCCAGGTTAAGAACCATTGCCCGAATACATTTGCAGGTGACGCGCTGTGTCTTTAACGGGCTGTTTAGGCGGCACGTCGGGATGTCTATGCAGGCCCGGATTGTTGGGCCAGGGCAGGGCCAGCAGCCTAGAATTTGACCCCGCACCATGTTTGAAAAGCAAGACTGTAAGAAGCACTGTGAAACACCCAATGGGTAACTTGGAAATGAAAGCAACAGCGACATTACGTGTATAGTTCTGTGCCTGAAATTAAAATAAGGTTTTGCACTTTGGTAAAATGAAAACAAACAAAAAATGCAACTTTGATTTCCCACCGCGGTTAACAAATACGACAACGCAATGCGTTCATACCGCTTCACGGTGGCCATCGGGTGACGGCGTCACGGGTCCAAATTAGTTCGTTGGTTTAAAACCAAAGAGCAACATCGCAGACTAATGCCCACCACTTGCAGGCTGGTGCATAACCACGTAAACCTTGTGTTGCACAGGGACAGCTGCAATCAGGTAAGGGGCAAGATGTTAACTACCTCGCCTGGCATACAGACGCTTGTGGGTTCGATCCTGACCTTGCTGTATATTTGAAGTTTGCTGCGTCTCTCTCTGTCTCCCCCCGTGGTCACCTGGATTTTTATCTGGATCCTCCGGTTTTCCCCTCCATATTTAGAATCAACACGCGTTTCGGGTGTTTTGGCTGCTATGCATTTCAACACGATAAGCCATTTCGTTGAGCTACCATTTGTGGCCAGGTCGCTTCTGAAAAAGCTATATAGCTCAGTGGGCCTTACACCTGGTGAAATAAAAACATTTTTTTAGTTTAAGGGGGTCCCCCTAGAACAAACAAACTGCGCTCTGTGAAGGCCCGACTCCAGTACGTCTGGGATGGGATTGGAGTTGGGGGCACTACAACAGTGACAGACTGCTAAGCAGCAGAGTGAACTTGGGTGGAGTCAAAGGGGGCATTTGGTTGTGCACAGTCGACCCTAGGACCCGCCTAGCCCCAACCCTGCCTGGCTCTGAGGCGGTGTTAATGATTTAGCTTTACGATTCATACACTGTATCACGTCAAAACAACGACAACCTAGAATTGTAACTGACAATGTGGTATCAGAAATGGGTGGTGGCAAAAAAACGAGAAAGAGAAGGAATTTAATTGACAAAGAGTGGCCCACAAAGTTGGACTCGTCCTTGGTGGCCCCCCCTGAACACTTAAACCGGTGCTGGGTTTTCGAAATAAGTTGGGGTTTTTGTTTTGCTACAACGTGCCCCCACTGAGGATAACAATTGGGAACCCCTGGATATACCGTGCAAGCCTACACCGAGCAGTGCATAACCACGTAAACGAAATAATAATTATTTTACTTAAGATGTCATTTTAACAGGGCCAACAGGTACTGATTTTTTGTGTGCTTAATGGTCACCCCCCCACCACCCGGCACCTCGGATTAGCGCGGTTGGATATGTACGGTGCGAAACAGGTTCGGCATACACACACACACACATCGCAAACCTACATTCATACACGCACGCACGCAGGTGTTATGCACACAATAGTAACGCAAACAATAACACCCAGCGGAGGTGGTCAGAATCTCACAAAAGGCAAAAAAGTTGGCGGTGAAGGGAATGTGATTCCAGCAGCTCCGCCTTGACAGCGGTGCCAGTGGTCTTACTGTGATGGGGCACGCCTGAGACTGCCATCACTCGTCGCTAAACATGACATTTCTTTGTTTGTCAAAAGGCCGATTCGTTTTCCTTTGACAAATGTAAACGTTTGACCTCTCTCGCTCCGTGCCCTACCGCCGCCGTTGGTTTGTGGCCTCCGCAGGCTTGGGGCACCGCGTGTGGTTCAACCGTTGGTCTGTGAGAGGGGAGCGTGGCTCTCGAAAGGAAAGTTTCTCTGAGCCCACGCCGTTGCCGATCGGAAAAAAAAAAGACTCCCGCAATAACTTGATTTCACTTTGCTCGCGATCGACTCCAAACTTCCTTGATAATTAAAATTAAATACGTTATTGGTATTCTTCTCGGTCGATTAGCAAACGGTGTTCTAGCACAGTTTTGGAATGACCAAGGTTTGTAAAACATGCATTTATAAATATTAAAAGGTCAGAGATCAAGACATATATACAGTAGTTGATCACCACTGAGAATAATACCTTTTTTGAATATATTCACCGCTTGTTATTTCCCACATGTCTCAAATAAAAAAATGTTTCGATACAATTTTTTTACATATTCCAAAGTTATTGCTGCAGTAATAAATATACTTTTTCGTATTATTATATCCCACTCTCACACCTCTGATTAGCACGGTTGGCTACGTACGGTGCGAAATAAGTTCGACATACATAAACACTCTGAGTATATTTGTATTTTATCGCGTGTACATTTTTTTAAATAGCTGGACGCACACTCACTGTTTATGCTATCCAGTATAATTCGCATGCAACTAAACATTGAGAAGGGTCTCTTATCGAAACACACCGATCGAGCATATCACAGAGACGGTAGAAATCAACAATCTCTACTCATTCCCATTGATGCAATCGGAACAACTTGGAAAATGTGTGCAAAATATAAACTTTTTAGCACTTTGCCATGGCTACAATTAGTGGCAACGGTACGATATGTTTCTGGAGTGTAATTTTAACAAATTTTATCTGACCTTTCGCTGGAAATTACATCCAGATCTTAACGACAGCTCAGCTAAAAAAAACTAATATATTGTAAAAAAAAATATCCCACAAGGCAACTCGATTCGATTGGCACGGTCGAGTGGTGGCGGGTCACAGTGAAACGATCCAACCCAATAGTATCCAATTATAAATCATTATTTTGCTCGCGAAAGCCTGCTTATAAAATGCTAAGATTACATGTCATCCAGAAAATTAATACTCATCGCCATCCATTGACTATCCACTGCTGGATGAAGGCCTCCCCATGTCATCGCCACACTTTCGTCTAATCATAGAGCGCCAAACTTTCGTCTCCTCTGCCGTTTTGTTATCGTTACTTTTACAAAGGCACGTTTATCCATCTAGGCTGCAAATATTGTACCAACGCTATCATTGGCCGAGAGTTATTTAAAATATAAAATGACAAGGTGAAGCAATGTTTCTGCAGCCACCCTTTTTCTTCAGAAACTGAGAGATCGGAATGACTGTGACTTTCAGTGGCAGGCGGCTGCGGTATTATCTATTTTAAGACAAACTGTCCCGTAAGTGCTGCCTTCGCCTCTCGATCTGCTCGCAGAAGGAGCCAATATGCGATCATATGTTCACTCAATTTTTTTCAATTGTTGGGTTTGGTGGTAAAGTTATTCCATCCCCTCTGCCTTTACACACAGAGGACAGGAATCTGTATTTATGCTGGTGGAATCCGATGAGCTATGAAGCTCTTTTCTTAGAGGTGCCCAGGTGGGGCACGGGGTCAGACATTCACAACAACAAACAATACAGAAAACACGTTGGGAGTGAAAAGTATAGGAAAGGTAAGCAAGTCACGAACAGAACCAACGCAGTCCCTGAAAACATTTTATCTCACATATTCACGCCTGTTATCATTTTTGTTATAATAGAGTGTACTCATAGTTAACGAATGCCAAGTGAACACGTTTTCCAAACATAATACCATATTATCTCCCCAATTTGAATGCTCAGTTCCTGCAGAAGAAGACGAGGACGCTTTTGGCACGTGGAGCGAAACGTCGGACATCGTGCCGAACAAACGGGCGGCGACAATGCGAAGAACACGTCTCATGAGGCGAGACAAAGACAGAGATCCCCCGTATAGTCTTAACAGACTTTTGGGGCAAGTGCTGTTAGCGAGCACCTATGAAGGTTGGCACGGCACACCGCACTGGGTACTCATTCGAGGCTGAGTCGACCTAGGGGAGGCCCAGGACCGGTTCAGATAATCGTCGCTGGTGTTGGCCGTGAGCGAGACGCACACGTACACACAAACGCCAATGTGCTGTGACCGTGGGTGTGTAAAAACTTACCGTTCTCAGAACCGTAGCCCCAGTGTTCGCACATTGTTGCTAAAGAGAGCTTGAGGACCGTAGTATCAGATAAGGGTTTACGAGGAGTTCTCAGCAGATCGCTTGTCTGACGATCTTAGCTCACCCCAAGGAGCGCCTTTTATAAGGACCCACGCACACACGCACACACACACACGTACACACACACGCAATGGCACGCCTACTCGCATATATGCGGTTCGTGCAAGTATACTTACACACTCATGCTTAGACTGAAGAAAATGACACACGGATAGCTCTATTCATGCACGGTGTACAAAAATTGCCCATCTTTCGCACGCGTATATTTCTATATGCCTGCTTTTTAGGCACACGGGTATACGCGTGTGCGCGCGTGCGCGTGCGTGACATTGCGAACCGTCCAATATGTTACAGGTGCATGCATTGGGGTACCTGTCTCTTTCAATACATACACAGCTTGAAGTTCACTGACATTTGTGACATCTCAAATCCACACTTCTGCCCAGTTATCCGGTATTGTCTTTGGGCAATTAATTAAAATGTCCTTCTGCAATGCGTAAACCCTTAAAAAAAATATATAATTTGTCCAAAAATCTGAGATATATAGAATATTTGCGAAACATCAAACATCTAAAACGGTATCAAATATTTAACAATGCTCAAACATCCACATGCAAGTTAAGTAAATGCACATCCATAATACATCTAAGCATTATCCTTTTATCACGGGACTCATTGAGGTTTAAGTAGTGCAAACAACGAAATATAAGTGCATGCACGCTATTTTATTTATATAATTGTCAATAATTCATCAGCAGCCGTAGTAGTTCGAGATTGATTTTTTTTGTATATGTACTTTGCATACACGGTTGGGATATTTGGCGAGGCGCGTGTGTGCGACAAAAAAAAACAGTTTGGGTAAAAAAACTTTTTTTTTTACGGCGGTCTCGCGAGTTTGGTTCACAGAGACGGAAGAATGGGCGCCTGTCCTTGGGTGTGGAGGTGAAAAGCAGTTGGCGTTGAGATTGGGGGTTGTCGCGGCCCCCACCTCTGCCCTCCCAACGTCGCCGATAGCAGGACTACAAATGTGCAATATCATGTCCTCGTGGCACTTTTAGCGGACGTCTTTTCCATCGCTGGGAGAGCAAAAAAAAAGGTCATTGGAAGTGAATAAGCCAACTGATATATATGTAAAATAAAAAAAAAGTTTATTTTATAATTACCGTACAAACTATTTATCATCGCGCTGTAGAGTTTTCGGTTATATATCGTGCATAATCTAGATTTGAAGTTTTCGTGACTGCAGGGATCCATAAATCACTGTGATTTAATTAAATTTAATGTTTTATACCTACGTGACTTTACCGAAAGAACCAAAGAGTATCATGCAATAATATATTGCCACCGGAATGTAAAATTGGAATGTTATGATTTGGTAGGCATGCTGCGATGGTGTAATGGCTTGGTCACTGGACTTGCAATCCAGGGGTTTCTGGTTTAATCTCCTGGTGCGGCAGTTAAATCCCACCATCCTTGTCCACCAATCAGTATAAATGAGCACACCACAAATTTGTCGATCGGTAGGTCGCGTGCGGCATCGTAAAGTGTGGTTACCTCCACCTGTTTCAAGACTTTTGGCCAGCGTTGAAGAGTAGGCCAAATACCCTTACGTGGGGGCTCTTTGGGTGCCATGGTGGCGAGATGTTAACTCCCTCGCCTGGTATGCAGGGTTCGATCTTAACCGTGTCACCTGTATATTTGGAGTTCGCATGTTCTCGCCGTGGTCGCATTGATTTTTCTCCAGGTACCTCCGGGTTTTCCCCTCCGCATTTAGAATCATACATGCGTTTAGATTATTTGGCTGCTATAAATTTCCACATAGTTATAATGCACTTTGTTGAGCTATGATTTGTGGCCGGGTCTCTTCTGAAAAAAAACAGCCGTATAGCTGAGTGAACCTTAGCTGGTAAAATAAATGGTTTAGTTTTAGAGCTCGCTCTAGCGGAGGCAAGTGCAGGGCTGTACCTTTAACGCATTTTATTGTTTGACTAAACCAGCTCAAAAACGAACCCCACCTCAACATTTCCGAGTGCTGCGGTTGAATGTGTGAAGCGTTAAAACAGCGGCCATCATCGGCACTCTCGGCCCTCCAGTAAATCATCGCCATCGATGCCACCCCCCCCTCGCACTCGCATCGCATGTTGGATGGCTCTGAACGCGGAAGCCACCGTCCCAGGCGCGCACACCCTCCGATCCGATTGTCGTAATCCCAGCGCTGCGTGGTTAGCGCCGACCGGGCGCACGTCCTGTGGCGCCAGTGGTCGCTAGAAGTGGCGAGAAGCGTGGCCTCGCAGCGACGCGATCGTGCGCCGTGCCCCTTCCTCGAGGCATTTGTGTGCGTTGCAACGCACGTTGCCCGTGGCGGGCAACGTGCGTTGCCCGCCACGTACGTACGTACGTGGCGGGCAACGCACTTCTTTTGCACCGTACATAGTCGACCGTGCTAATCGGACGTGCATGGGGGAAGGACAATAAACTAAAGACAAAAAGCACGTCTAAAGAAATTCGTTTTCAATCGAGATTATTTAAAAGTGCGTATCTCCAGTGGCTTCCTAACATCGGAAGGAAGAGCGTTCCAGACGGCCGTTGCTTCACTCATTCCCCGGTATATGCTTGCTATGTTTGTGGCATTCAGCTCACTGCAAATAAATTAACGTGAAATTATCACATCGATGTTTTCTTCTGCCGCCCTTCTTGCCGTGTGCCCGACAAAGTGACCAATCTGATTCCAATGGATGCTCACGGGATGCTAAAAGCTGTTAAGTAGATGACGACAATAAATCTGCCCATGGACTTACTGTTCCCCTTTCACTGCTCAAGTTACAAACGCTTGGCTTAGTTACTATAATGGTTCGTGGCCCGTGCATCAATGTCACCAAGGAATGTACACCGATATCCAGCATATGCATGCACGTGCACACACAATTACAGGCGCGCGCACACACACTGAAGCTATACACATTTGCTTTTATTTCACTAGGCAAGGCCCCAACTGACCTGTGTAGCTCTTTTTTTCAGAAGCGACCTATCTACCACGAATGATAGATCGACGAAATGGCTTATCGTCATCACGTGGAAATTGATAGCAGGCAAATAAGTCTAAACGCACGTTGATTCTAAATGTGGAGGGAAAAACCGGAGGACCCTGGAGAAAAATCAACGCGACCAAGGGGAGAGAGAGACACGCAAACTCCAAATATACAGCAGCAGGCGTCAGGGTCTGGATCGAACCCACGCACTCCTGTATACCAGACGTGGTAGTTAACATCTCGCCACCGTGCCAACCACACACCCTTTTACAACAACAACAATGTCACCACGGTGCTTGTGCCAGGCTAGGTGCACCTTGAGGCTATCACGTGAAGAAGTGTGGAAGGGTCGCTGCTGGCAGGAGGTCACGTGACAGACCCACGTTTTATGAATTGGCTGACCGAGATGACTGACAAATCCAGCACCTGTGCTGCTCACTGTGCTGCTCACTGTGCTAACTTCCTGTATTTTATCCGCCCAACGCTCGTCTCGTTGTTGTGAGTGTCACTCCTCTGCCCCCGCCCCCACTCGCCCATAAATTCCGCGCAGGCTGTTGCGCTAAGTTTTGCTAGCGAGCACCCACGAAGATCGGCGCGGTGCACGTGGGGAGGCGGTGGGGCCCACCACCACCACCCCAACGCCCGGCCACCTTTGTCTTCCCAGTGCATGACATTCACACATCACACCATGTAGTCATTTGAGGCTGAGTCGACTTAGGGGAGGCCCAGCACCGGTTAAGATTATCGTCACTGGTGTTGGCCATGAACGAGAATCGAACCCGTGTCGCCGGGTTGCGGTTAGCGCGCTGCGCTACGTACTCGGTGCAGCGCAGCGCGCTAACTGCTACCATACCGCGCATACACACGCACGCGTATTGTAGGCACGATAGACTTTTTAAAGCTTTGTCTAATCGGCAGTCACACCTTGGCTGCTCCACCATATCGCCTGACAATACAATGCTGGTCGAGGGCAGTGTTTCGCCTGTCACCATATCGCCCTGGATGTGCGTTCCACCTTTTGTCAGCTCTAGTAAGCTAAGCGGGTGGCTGAGTCTGGTTCGTGCTTGTATCGGAGACCCGCCCGGGAATATCTTCTTAAGCTGCGAGCTGACCGGGAGTTTGCGGCACAGACACTGATTTTTGAAGCCGTGTGGCATGTTACATACCCCCCTTCGCAGTTGCATGCGTGGGTTTCTCTGGGTATTCCGGTTTTGTTTCACATTCCAAAAGTTTATAGAATCGGGCAGACATCTCAATTCAATGCATGGCCCTCCTGAGCACAACTCCGCGACACTTGAGTGAAGCTGTCTTGGGTCGTCGTAATAATAGTAATTATTGTTATTATCTTCTCCTAAAAGCTTTGCTGTAATGAAATACATAATGAGCTAATTCTGAACGGAACATTAAGTATAAATGATGACCTATTTCTGTTTAGCTTCACTTAATAGTTGGCGCAATTTTTGTTTATATTTACTTGACAGCCAAACATTTGACCGTCACTCATCATCAACCGCGATGACTCCACTGCTGGATGAAGGCCCCACCACCATGCTATCGTCATCTCTCCCGGGCCCTGTGACGCAACAATCCATCTGCACGCCAGCTGATTGCATCGCTCCGTCTCCGCGGGTTTGCGTCCAGTGAGGCGTATTCCATCCTTCGGCTGACTGATACTACATTTGCAAGAATGCTAATGACGCTGATGCTATTCAGGACGATGACGATGATGACGACGACGATGATGACGATGATGATGATGATGAGAAATCGTCCGATGTGCGGGTGCGTTCGAGGTGGATCAGTTACATCGCGGGATCGTCAGAGATGGCCGGGGGCTTGGGGAGGCCTTCATCCAGCAGTGGGTTGAGCATGGCCGTCGATGATGATGGTGACAATGTATGTATGTTGAACATCTTTTCCCATGCGTGCGTAGCCAACCCCACTAATCGGAGGTGCGGGGGAGAAGGACAACATAACTGAACGCACAAAAGGCCGTTCGAAAGAAAATAGTTTTCAATCGAGATTTGAAAGCGCACAGCCCCA